CCGGCAGACGCTCTGTGCGCCTCTGGGTCGGCTTTGTGTGTGTGCGGATGGTGCCGTAAACACGTTGGTCTTTTACTGTGGGGTCATTACGGTTTGGTCTACTCTTACGACGCACCCAACCCACGACACAAGGTTAGAAAAGAGTCGACGTCTGACTCTGCCGCTCCACAGAGTGTGGTCATCGGTCGAGTGTGACAGGCGAGGAGCGCCGTCGGCTCGGAGCAGTTGCCAGGCGCTCACACACACACCGGTGATCAGGCTCCTAAACATGTAAACCCACATGAAACTCCCGAAACACTGAGACATCTGGGCAAATGGTACGATTTTTCGATGTATCCTGTGCTGTCCGCGCCTTTCATGACCTTTTCGTGACTAGTCACCTCGAGATTAGGAAAACTTGTTACCGAACCGAAAATGACAAGACTTACGTAGAGGTCGGGTTCGGAATGTTGTGAACAACAAATCAACCAGACAATTTTACGGTCTCGACCAATATCTTCCCCGGTTCACAGCTATTTGACGACAATCTTACATTTCGTATGAGTCTACTCGACTCAGGGTTCTTCCGCAGGATTTTGACTTATTATAGATTTTATAGGTGAACAGGAAAAATCTTTTAAGTGCACAATTTTATCGGATTAAGACTTTTTGGTTTGGTGTTATACGAAACCTAAACTTCGTAACTAGTTTATTCTTTTTGATCACACTAGACTTGAAGAATTCAGTTACTGACGAACAGACGACAGTCTGGGTGCCACACCTATGACAAAAAAAAAGTGCGTGTGACTGCACTTTTTGCCCATGGCGTCATGTAACCATCAACAAAAAACATTAAATTGGTGTTTAGCGGAAACTGGTAGCATAGCAGCTAGGCACACAGAGACCATTCACATAAAGACTACTCCTAAGGACCTTCTTTAAGTAGAGGAGGACACGCACACCGTGTTCCCAAACAGTCGCCGGACCCGCTACCACCCAGCTCTGTAGGACGAGACGTACCGGCGAGAGGTAGAAGTAAGTCCAGTATGTCCAGTTGATATTCCCAGTCTTTGTTTTGTAAACAAAAGGAAAAAATGTCTCGTAAGTGAGAAGTGTATATGGGAGACGATCCCTTGTATAAAGAGAGAACTTAGTGTACTAGGAGTTTAAAGTAGGGACCAGGTCTCAGGTCAAAAAGAAAGGAGACTCGTTTACGAGTTCTGTTTTTATGACCAAAGGAAAGTCACATATGAACGCTGAAGAAGTTTTTCAGTCGTATAGAAAACCCATAACTTAATGTCTTGTCGAGTGTTTCGAATAAATTTTCCACTACTCAGTCCAACGACATAGTAAACCTTCCTCTCAGGAATGGTATATGAAAGGATGTCATGGTCGATATGAGAATTATACTGGCACACAACTTGTTTATTTCCTTAAGACTAAGCTATAAAATGTCTTTGTCTACAGGAACTTTGCAGAATTAACGTATTTGTATGTGTTTGTGAAACGGGGTTGTAAATGAAATAATTTAAAATTTATCTACAACGCATAACGTAACTACATATGTCATGGTTCTTCAATAATATTGGTAAATAGATTTAAATTACCTCCTTGACCGTATATAACTTATAAGGGGGGGGGGGCAAGAGCTCCAACAAGGCGTGTAGGACAGAGAGTGAATACACATACTACACAGAGATGCTGTGTGAGAAACCAATGTGAGTTTGGAACATTGAACAATGTAAATCTATTCTAATAGACCTCAATAATGGAATTATGATCAGTAGAAATGGCCATGACATGGGACCTTTAAGACATTTGGAAATAACAACGTTTTTAAAAGTGGTAGCAGGATGAGAGCTGTGTTTGCAAAGTCCAATAAGTCTGACACCGGTTGAAAAAAAATCACTCAAATGTTATTATTTTTTTATAGCAATGTGAACAAATAGGAATATTGTCAATCAGAAGTGCAAACCTGTTCTTTTTAAGTGTGCATGTTAACACATTTGTTAAAATAAAAAATGGACAGCTCTTTCATAATAAGCACTGATTCCCACACTCGATGCTCGCTCACCTTTCAAGTCGCACTGAGAGTCACTAGGTATCGATTTATCCTTCTGCTCCTCCTCTTCATCACCCGACGATATCACATCTAAGTTTGGCGAGTCAGTGTTTTCAGACGGCTGTGTTTGTTTGTTCGGGGATTCTTTCCGTTGTTTGGGATCGGGATCAGAGATGTTCTGTTGTGCCGACGTGTCGCTGGTCGATGGGGAGTCAGAGGAGCTCTGTTTGCTCGGGTGCCCGTAGATCAGGTACCAGAGGAAGTTATGAACAACACGCATACGATGCATCTTAGGCTGGAATCCAAGAGACTTCCCCAATCCCTTAACTATGAAATGAAAGAGAAAGAAAAGAGAAAATTGACTTCGAGGACAAATACATCTGATCATAAGGATGTCAATAGGGGTGAGTCCACAGTTGAACAAATAACTTTAATAGGGCAAAGTTGAATCGATTCAAAATCAAACTTTCTCTTTCAAACTGGGCTCTGAATTTGAATGTATGACTCCTTTTGTGTTTGTGTTAATATTGAGTAAACCAGAACCTGTTGTGGGCTTGAACTCGTCGTTTTTATTTTTCTTCTTGTCTCTCTTATTGGCTCTGGAAGGGCTGGTGCTCGTATCTTCCGGGGCGGCGCCTTCTTCTCTGGCTTTCTCTTCAGCCTGCTGATGACTGAGGGATGGACAGAAAGACAGAAGATGGAGGAAGATAGACTCGATCAAGACAGAAGGTACGAGACATTTTCCTGCTCTTTACCACAGAGTAATAGCAGCAGAAGCAGAACACAATTAGCGCTCATGATAATAAGGAATCAATGTACCTTTTTCCTCTCAAGGGCCATTTCAATTTTTAAAACATCCTCCGAAGGTCATACAAATGATTGAACTCAACCTCTGCTTAAAAAAACTAAAATCACAGCCCATTCATTTTGCCTTTCTTTCATGCTGTGCAAAGAAAAAGCAACCTCTTAATCCAGATATCTTACCATGACTTATGCATGCACGTGATCGGTTGTGGCATGACCACCAAAACAGAAAGATATTGATACAAGATGTGTGCAAATGTATTTAGTTTCCTATCCATGTGTGGACATGATTTAAGTGGGGGGCCACAGGAGCCGAGCTGTGGAGGGGGAAGAGAGACCACACGCACCACAGGGCAACGACATCCAAAAGTTTTCAGTTAACTGTTTGTGAGCGAAATTATTAGCGTTAATGTTAATAACTGGGTTTATTAGCTCTAGGGATTAAAAACGGTATTAGTTTCGTCAGGAGTCACGTGTTCAACAAATGGAGACACTCATCCGTGGGGAAGAGTTTGATCTTCCCCAGACCTCCCCTTGGAGACCGGAGGCTCCTGGGTAAACTATGCCGGAGCTCCAGTAATATTTCGCCTGGGTTTTTTTATTTTACATTCTTTAGTGTCTCCAGCACCCGCGGGCGCGGGTGCCGGCGTTTTAATAATTTGTTGTGTCTGTCTCACCGCGAACCATAGTGTGACCCCGGTAACCAGTTTTGTCCAAGAGAACATGTGATTGTGTTCGGATTGCACAGTAGTGCACCCACCACGACGGACTCGAGTGACTTAGAGTTATTCTCTACGTCCGCTTCCTCTACGAGACCGGCGAGTCCGTGAAGTTTTTGCGTGCATGGGATGCATTGCGCTCGCGCTCTTCCTGCGGGGCATGGTATATTAACTACGTACATATCAATAGTTTTTTGTTCTCTGATTTAATTTTGTCCATATTTTATGATAACTGTCATTTTTTTTGCAACAATAATTATTTGTTCTTATATCAAATTTCACTAAACATTTTATAGGGTTTTTCTTTAGACGAATGTCAAGACAAAGTATCCCACAACTTCTCTACATAGGTATGACATCTTGATAAGAGAGTTACGTGGCTTCTAACTAGGAAATTGAAGTTCCGTAAATTTTTTTTAGAAGACGGGGGGCTGGGGCACTCTGCC